AAAGAGAACATGCTTCCCTCACCATTTTCCCCAAATACTCTCCTTTCACAGCCCCCTCGTTCTCCCTATGTTACTGCTGCTGGAGCATTTCCCACATCCCATTCCGTGTCACTGTCAGTGCTACAGATGGAAACAGCCCATCACCCACCCTGTCCTGGGGAGCTGTTGAACTGCACGTTTGAGGCTGGTAGCTCCAGCCACCACAAAGAGAAGTGTCAGAAGAAAGTTATAGCTGGAGGTGAAGGAGAAATCTGGCATCCCTCTCATCTCCTACTTGCTTTTTTTCTTCCTTTCTTTGCAAACCTCCATCGTGCCTCACCTGCCAGCACAGAGAAGCGGAACCTAGAAGAGACTGCCTGTGCCTTTCATAGCCAAGTTCAACCTTTCCTGTTGCACTTTCTTGGTTCTAGTAGAAGCTTGAAAAGAAGCATTTCCCAAAGTGGTTATTCTCTCCATCACTTCTTAGTTTTTGACAGCAAGACCCATGAAAACTCCTGACAGCTTTACAGATGTGTAAATGCTATTATATCAGATGCCAGCATCCTAAATCCTGAAGTACTCCTGACGTTAAGGACGTTAACAGTTCTCCAAGTCACAACAATCAAGTCCATCAGTTTGGACCTGAGAAAGGTCTTCATACACACAGAACACGGGGAGGCCCACTGAATGGGGTGATTTCCAGGAACAACTGAGAAATGTACAAATCACAGGTAAAGTTGCAGAGAAAGTAAAAGCGGATCTGGTCCTTAACACAAGCGGGACAAGTTACCTTGTCTGTGGTCATCACGTACAAATTTTCTTGGGTTTTGTCAAGGACCAGGTCATTCTTTATGGGCTTGTTTAGTTCAATAGTAAGAGAGCTGTACTCAGTTGCAGTGGATGACAGGAACACCTATTTGATGGAAAAACGAAAAGTAGTTAATGTTGCTTTTTCCCCCCAAGTATCATTAGTGAAAATCCTGTGTTTACTCAAGTTCACAAATTCACATTAGGGAAAACATTTCAATTAGAAGTATATGGCATCAAAAGCAGCAAGCAAAGCATGTAAATAATGAAATTGCTCACTGCTCACAACAGCCAATATTTCTGTTCATTTTTTTTGGTAAATACTGATCTATTTTAGTGTTGTAAAATTCAAATTCTCAACTTGGAGCCTTTGCATTTGAATGTGTTAAAATTTGTTGTCCTCCCTTATGGTAGCCAACAGTTTCAGCTTCAAATTTCAAACCAGGTGGTGGCACATGGCCATCACTCCCCTTCAAGCAAAAGGGGATAGGTGTTGCAGTCTTGACATTCTCACACCACAAACACATGAACCCTTGAGTGCCACACCACACAGTGAGAACTCAGCAGAGCTCCAGCCGGGGCTTTGCATTGCCATCTCTATTCACTGAATGGCCAGAATGATTACAAAATGAAAAGTTGCTCTTAAGCTAGTATGGGCTTGAATAGAGATAAGGCCAGAACAGCTGTTAGATTACCTAAGGCTGTTTATATAGGGCTCGCAGTAGGTATCTAATCCTTTGGGAAAAGTGTCATTCAGGCAGTGCTAATTCAACCTGTGTATCAGATAGCTGAGGTACATCAGAAATAAGGTGTTTTTTCTTTGAAATTAAAAATACGAAGCTCCAAGAGAATTTGCTCCTGGTATATGTGATCTTATAAATCCCATTTATTTTTAGAGTAGAAGTATGCTATCACTACGGTTCGTGACCTCTTAAACACCTTCCAGTCTTTTAAGTCCAGTTTATTACCTTAAGAATTTTACCATCCGAAGTTCCCAGAAAGGCCACAGTGTGCCCATTCTCCACAGCCACAGTGACAGCCGTGAGATTCATCCCTTCCTTTTGCAGTACTGGCTTCTCTATAACACCGTTCTTACTTCCCAAAAGGTACGGCAAGTGTTCGGAGCCACAGGGGAAATTTTTGCTTGCATTCTAATAAGGAATAGCAATACAGAGCCATGTTAAACATTCAGATCACTAATTCCTAGCTAAGAATGAAGTGCAACCCTATTACCAGACAGTACAATACCCCTCAGACATAGAAGAGTGGAAAGAGAGAAATGGATTGTCTGGCCATTTCCCCCCAGCCAACAGGCAGCACTCAGAAAGTAGCCTGCTAATCACAAACTGCTTCAATGCTTTCACTTTACAGGAGACATGGGGAGAGAAGATTTTTAGGTTTTATTTCATTACAGCAGCACTGTTTAAAAAGTAACCCCTTTGTTTTATTAAAATGAACATGTCATATAGATTGAGTTGACCAATTTTGTGTTCAAGATTGTTTTTTTAATGCTGTTTTGTTTCTTAATTTGCTGCTATCCATAGAAAAGCAACCCACTGGCAAATGTTTAGTGAACTTGAACACACTCCCTCTTCACTATGCTTTAATCCAGAGCTGCAGGGAGTGCCACCAGAAGGAAGTTCATTCACACCTTGTCTTTCCTGTTATATTTGGTAACGAGACTGTCTTTCTGATCTGAAATCCACACCTCCCTTTTGCTGGAAGCCAGGGCTTCTCCACTTGTCACATTCAGGATTTCTATGTTTGATGCTCACCTCAGATGCAGGGTACTGCAGTAACACTGGTGTTTGGAAGCAAAGAGTGTTCTTTTGGCTTCTTACCAGTGGTAGTGACCTACTATGCAGGAGAGGGTTGTGGTTTCATGAGATGAAGGATTCTGGGTCAATACCAACATAAGGTATTGCCCTGCCCCATCTCTTCACCTGTTCACTCCTACTCATGGACTGTAGCATACTGCTTCTCAAACTGTGCTGAAACAGCTGCTTATGTAAGCATGTAACTTGCTCAAATTGGGGAATTAAGACATCCTCCTAGAAGCTGGTGGAGTTATTTCTAAGATTATTCAATTCCTCAACCCAATTTAGGGTTGGCTGCAGTAACAAATGGCATGCACAAGTGGGGCTTGGGAATAGGTTGAGTGATGTAGGCAAAAACACCATAAAGTCAACAGAGATACTGAAAACTCTCTCAGAGATGCAGTTATAAATTGAAGAACAGTATCCAGAGGGCTGTAACACTGCCCTCCAAAAACCTTATAGTCAAGGTAATGACAAACCATAAAAAGAAAAGGAAGATGGCCATCATGCTACGGAAGTATTTTGAGACAGAGTGAAATATGAACACCACCTGAATATAAGAAATGAGTCTTTCCAGTTATCTGAAAATTCAAATCCAAGCAAGAAACAACTCTGAACTCCAGATGTCACCTACAAGATTCTTAATACCATTTAAAAACATTACAAATACGTTGGCTGACACCAGAATTGTCTATAGTGATCATCTGGAAGCTGATCATGGGTGTAACAAATCACTTCATTTGACTTGGTAATTTCCATACCAGTAGGAACCCTTTAAAGAAATGCCTTTATGAAACCAACATTCAATTTTCAGAAGACATAAAATCTTTTTTAAAAGACTCAAAATTATGACTATCTTGCCACTTCTTGCTTGACCTGTTCCGCAACACCCCCCCCAATCACATTCCATTCCTATGGTGAATCCAGCTATTGAGTTTTCAGTCATCTGATCTCACTATAGATTAGCTCAAAGCCACCCAAAAACATGCAGCTCTATATTTTCCACTAATTCTAACACAGATTCTAAACCTGATACTGATATTACCAGTCCATGTGATGCACACGGGTTTTCTGCTGCAAAAAGTTTGTAAAATGAGCTGGTATTCTTTTTAGTGTAGCAATCATTCCGGTTTTTTTCCATCTTTTCATTGATGTGCCTCAAGGAAAAGACACACATGGCAGATTTCAGAGAGCCATTTTCTTTGTTTACTTTGCTGAAGAGTGCAATAAGAACTTTGTCATCTGAGAGAGCATCCGTAGTTTGTCTCTGCTGAGCCATGCTCTCAGCCAGCTCTTCTCCTGGGGTAGTGATGTAAGCAGAATGACAGTGGTCATAGGCACCATCATCATCTTTGCAACCCAAGTCCATTTCGAAGTAGGAATAATAATGGGCATCATCTTTGCACAGACGTGCAATTAGTGTGCGGTTATTGATGGGCTGTTTCTCTTGCTGATTAAAAATAAAATAAACATAATTTTTATCCTCAAAGACTGTCACAAATTGCTGTGTGCTTGATGAGTGATAAGCTGACTTAACAGCTGCTGAGTCTGTATACATTTCAAAAATGTCTTTTCCATCCCTTTCATAGAGCTGCCGAGTGCTGATTATTATCCCATTATCGTTTGGTCCATTCCCTTTCCCAACAAAGAGCACTCGGTCATTATTCAATGAAGTGATCAATCCCACAGTTGATACATTCTCGTCGTTGCTTGCTACAAAGGACTTCTCTCCGCTACTGTCCACATAATACTTCTCACTTCTAATGTCTTCTAGATCTCTGATGGCACAGATTCCCTTAAAAAGGCTTCCACACACCACAACTGTTTTATCTGCCTTGTTCAGCAACAACAGTTTGTTATAATTGTCCGTCAGTACTGCCTCTTTACATTGATTTTCATCAATGGGAGGTGTGCACTTTTTGTTGTCCTTTCTTGGACCTGTTTCTACAGACCTCATAACATCCAGGTTTTCTGTAAGCTGATACAGAGCATTTACCACTCCTAAATAGATTATCCCAGTGTCATTATCCACTGTTAGGTGATTTAGTTCTGTAGCACTCCGAAAAAATTTCAGTTCCTCATTTCTGGATAAGGTGATGCAAAAACAGCTCAAAATGCTCAGTGTCCAGATCCATAAAGCCATTTCTGTGTAATACCTAAAATGGGAAAGAAAAGAAGAACATGAAAATAAAATTTACACAAAATTCAACATCTTGAAGGGTTTTTTCTTTCATGATTTCAGACACAAATATACCTATCCTTATACATGTGTAGACATCATAAAAATTATGGAAAACATCAAATCCTGTTAATTGCCTAGCAATTTATTATGTTGGGGAAAGACTAAGCAAGGTCCTATGTCTAACTGATTACCATATAACCAATTAGATAATCAATCCTGTGATAAAGCACAATGAGAATAACAGACAATTTGAAACAATGTAGAGTGCCAAGAAGTGGTTGCGCTTCTCCAGACAGCTTCCTACTGTGAGAATTATTTATTGTCAAGATTTTTAAAATAAGCTGGAGGATCCTAGTGTTTCAGGTGGCTCTTCCTTAACAGAGGGGGAGAATTTACATAAAAGTGTTTGATACACTGGATGTCACATGACTTTCCCCAGAAAGGAAAAAAACCTTCCATTGACTACAAGTAAGTCTGGATCTGGCTGCTGATGCTCTTCAAGAAGGCGTTACACTAATCCTTCATCAAGGTAAAGCTGGAAGATAGTGGAGCCTTTAATATGCAACATTGTCCTTGACTGCTGGTAGGCATTACAGTTCAACACTTCACTTAAGCACTGCAACTCAATAGTTTCAAATCTACTTTAAGAACATGACTTAAGAGTTTCATAGGCTTAAGATTCTGTTACTTTTTTTTTGTTTTGGTGGGTTCTTTTGTTTGATGTGTGTGTGTCCCCCCAAATTTTTACTTCCCAAGCAGACCACCTGTCTGTTTGTAACTGGAAAAAGACCATCTCAAACTTGTAAGGAGGGGTCTAACTTTAACCCGAAGAGTTAAATGCAGAGGCAAGTCCCAACTGGCTTCCTAAGCACAGAAAATTTTGTCAATGTTTTCTGCAAGTCTTCAGTTCTGAGAGCAGAAAACAGAAGGTAGCATGCTTGGACACACTGATGTTACAGGGGAAAGATAAATACTGTTTGGAGGAAGTACTGAAAACCAAATAAGATTCACAGTATTTTCATTTTGAAAGACAGTTATGTGACTCCATAATCTGATGAGGTAAAAAACCTATAAACTTAGAGGGAATCTCAAGTTAAATCTCAAAATATCTGGAACTGTGAATAGAAAGGAAAAAATAAAATCCCAGAAAAGACAAGAGAAACATTTAACAAAGCAATCTAACAAGGAAAAGCCTTGTAGGAGGAGGAGAATAGCACAGAATGTCAAAACAAGGAACTGAAAAAATAAAAGAAAAATAATAAAAATAATAATAAAGGAACCATGCTCCTGTGTCAGCTGTAGCTTCTGTTTTGGCAGCAGTGACAGACTGGTGGGATGTGAAAAGAGAATTGCCTGAATCATCATTTATACTGGATAACTAAGGCTACACGTCAACAACTGGGCTGCAAAGGTTTGATCAGGAGGGAAGTACTCTCATTGTGAGCACAAGCCACCTGCCAGCTCCCCAAACCATTTTGGCATCACCAGCAATGCAGAAAGACAACTCCTGCCCACCAGCCTTGACTGACTTTTGCTCCTCTATGGGGAAAAAGCACATGTAATGGTGAGAACAGCTTTTCTAAAAGCAGAGTGATTCTAACATCTAAAAAACCAAAACCCTACTAAATGTAACTCAGGATAATACTGAAGACAAAATAAAAGGCTAACTTCAATCTTGTTTTGCTAAAGCTCTTATCATGTACCAAACTGAGTAGTTAACTGTAAAAGGAGGTCAAAGAAAAGACAGTACATTACTGATGGCACAAGCCTGACTTCTAATGATAGGTTGACCTCGTATGACAGTGACCAAGAAAAAGCTAAGAATTATAACCCATTCTTCAGACATATGGACTTCAGTACATGCCTTGCAATGTAATGAAGCACTGGACCTCTCTACAACAACCTTAGACCCACCCTAAAGAACGCAGAAGAATTCTGATATTATTTGTCAGAAGCTCCTGCTTTCCTTCCTGATCCCAAGGACCTCAATTTTCCAGACAAGTTCTGATCCCAGCTTACATCTCCATGGCTAAATGGTATGTCATAACGTATGTCATCTAGTTTCAAATATTTTTACTTCAGTTATCTGCAATGAAGTAAAAAAAACAGTTTGACATACTATTGCAACATTGTTTCATAACAGTTTTATCATTCTACTATCTATTGCACAAGGATCAAACACCAAAGAATTCAGTTCCATTTGTTCCTGTTTTTCCCACAAGGTAATTATTGTTCAATTATTATAATCTCTGCTCTCAGTAAAAAATAAAAAGCCATAAATAGCTCTACTTACAAAATATGCCTCAAATGCATGGAAAGTAATTTATTACACCTTAATTTCTGTACTCAGTTCATCTCCATGTCTATTTATTTCAGTGGATTAAAAAATGTTTTGTCCATTTTTGGCACCCAGGACACAGAGGCTGCAGTTCTGCCTTCATCCCACAGGGAGAACAAAGTCTTGCTGGTTCACACCGCAGCCAGGGTTTAAGGAAAAGTATATTTTGCACTTCTAAACCAGGTTCTTACAGGAGTAATTAATCTCTCTGTACAAAAGTGGGTAATGCTTCCTTGCTACTATTTTCTGCCTTGTTCACCTATGAAAATTTTGACTTAAATTATTCAGTACAACATGCATTCTCCGTTAATTCTGCCCTTTTTTTTTTTTTCTTGGCATTTACTTCCTGCCTCCTCAGTCTTATGCCAAACACCGTCAAATTATCTCAGACCTTCATGCAAGGTAACAGTTCTTCATTCTCTGTACCTACTGGTTTCATGTTTTCCAGCTTCGAAGCAAACAGTAAGCAAAAATTAAATATGCTATGGAAAAGATCCAGAACTAAATTCCCATGCACTTCTCAAATATCAGGCTTAAGAAAAGAAAAAAGTAAACAAAACTAAATGAGATGCACTACAATCACATCTCTTTCTCACCTGATCTTAACTTATTTGGGAAGTAGCAGCTGGAGGAATCCTGCTATGACCAGCTGATGTGGTAGGATGGACAGAGCTGCTATTAACACAGATGCTGTGAGTGCTATGGAAAGGTGCTATGGAAATGTATCAAGGAACAGTTTTCTGCTGTAAAAAAACTTCTGTTTTAAATGAACAAACCATGGAAGCACAAGAGAAAATTAGTAAGAAGCCCGGGCTACGGGATGGAATCTGAGATGTTCAGCACAGCAAATATATTCCCAATGGCTTAATCACATACTTTAATTACACATGAGCCTGTGTGGCTTACTCAAAGTCATGCGCTGGTCCTGAGAGCTGACGTACACCCTCTGACCTCAGTTTGCACTTAGTTTTAAGCTCCTGGCAGACTTCAGATCAAAGAAGCCCAACAGAGCAGTTGACCACATCATTTTTTTCTCTCTCTCAGAGTCTTGTCTCCATCCTGCCTCTTGCTCCCGGCTCCCTGTGATATCATTAGAATCATCCTTATCACTCTCCCATCAAGATTACCTGAATTGCAAAGCCATTTCCTTTTTGGATTCCTCCCTTTTCCATCACTGCCTTCCCTATCCCTTCCTCCATCTCAAAATATAGTTTTCTTCTGATTCATATACCTTATAGATATCTGAATGTGATTTTGATGAGTATCCTAGAAGGACAGCAGTAATAAAAAACACTCCCAAAGCAGAAAAAAAGAAAAAGATATATATAAAGGTACATGTCATTTGAAAAAGGAAGTGTGGATAACAGACAGCACCTCCCTAGTCACTCAGAGACTCGACAGGTGACAGTGGGATGGCAGCAACCAAGCACTTTAAAAGAAACCCATGGAAAGTAAGCATTGTCTTGCCACTTACAAGGAATATGAAACTCTAGAAGTTATGTGCAGGAAAGGCAGAGCACCCAGGAGAACACTTCATACAGGGGAACTGCCATAAAGTGACACTGTGTTGGAACGACACGGCTACCAGCGCTCTGACCCACTGCTTAGCTGGATCAGTTTTAATTTAAGTACCCATAACTTTTATGTCTTCCTACTCAAGCAAGACCAATAACCTTAAGTAACAGTCACTTCTTCAAAAGGCATGCAGAAAAAAAAAAAGAGCATCTATAATCTATGAGCACAAAGTGAGTTACAAATTGACTTTTGAGTGTTATCAATACCCTTAAGAATTAGCACTGGCAACACGCTGACATGGATGTGGCAGGTGTTTTCCTCTTTCAATGCACAATCCTCTGCTGTACTTGTATATGGGAACCTTCACCTTTTCAGCCATCCCCAGTCACCTTTTTTTGGCCTTCAATATAACTTCAGCTTTACGCTACTTCATTTCTTACATTCATTTCAGCTGCAGTGAAAGGGTACCAAGTCCAAGTTTTGCCTGAAATTGGAATAACTGAGAAATAAAGCAATATCCCCCAAAGTGACAGGCAAGAAAGTCAGCAAAGGAATAATCTCACCAGTTTACCTTCTGTGCTGTTTTTGCAGAGTGGTTCCTTGTTAACCATATATATACTCAATTAAACTCTGTTACCTCTTGTCCAGATGAAGTTTTCTTACTTGAAATTATGGGTCTACAGACAAATGTTTCTGCCAACAGAGGCAGATACTGGTACTCTTCTACAGTTTGCAGTGAGAACTGCAGTGAGAACTGTTCTCGCTGCAAACTCCCCCCTAATCAGGGAGACCCAAAACCCCCAAAATTGGTTAAAAATTTGATAAAAAGACAAACAATTGGTAAAAAGACATAAAAAATGCAATATAAAAAAATCCAAAGAAAGCACTCAAATGGCTGAGAGATCTGGGGAAAAGGAATTAAATTTCTCCCTTATTTTGAGTAACTTTTCCAATAGTTTTGCCACAATTCAAAAAGAATTCAGTTTTCATTTTTAAGATCAAAGGAATTAAGAGCAGAAATTGGTGAATGCATGTGAGGCAGGGGATAAGCAGGTTTTCAGTTTTGATTTCAAAGCTTCTACTCATGTGAGAACTGTAGGTAAATGCAAGCACC